AAAGGCGGGCGAAGTCACGCGACAACGGCTATTATAATAACGATAATAATAATACACAAGTCACGAGTAGCTCGGTGGCGTAGTGGATAAGCGCCGCGGCCCGCGATCGTTGTCGTTAAGCAACTTTCGCAACGGTCGGTCAAGGGATGGGTGACCAACAAATTATTATCTCGAGCTACTCCGTGCTTCGGAAGGCACGTTAAGCCGTTGGTCCCGGTTGCATTTGCAGTCGTTAATACCCTCCAATCCGCATTGGGCCAGCGTGGAGGGTCATGGCCCATCCTCCTTAACCATCCATAAGGAAGGCCTGAGCCCCTGCAGTGGGGACGTAAAAGGGCTGATGATGATGATGATGACACAAGTCACAAATCAATACCGTTACAATAAAACATAATAGGAATACAAAATTGAATAAAATTATTATTTCGCCTGTTACACATCCTGGAATTGATCATACAACCGAATAGCGATTACTGAGATAAAACTAAATTAACACCATCTCGAAGTCACCCAAAAATATACTTAATCCTCGACCTCCAACACGCTGAGACTCCGATATTTTTATCAATTTCACCGCACAATAGGAGGGGACACCTTAAATCTAGTTTTATAGCTATTAGGAGCGTTGTGACCACGGTCGAGAGCGTCTGCGATAGCCTTAACAAATATGTTGCATCAGTAGGACAACTATTCACATTTATTTATTATTTTGAAAGAATTTTCAATACCGGTCCAGTAATTTCGGAATCTATTTGATGCAAACAAATAAATCTTTCTTCTTTATATAGCATTATGAATTTGAAATTGATCAAATATAATAAACAGAACAAAATTTTCATGTTTATCGAAAGTTTAAATGTTTGTAAAAATATTTCTTTCTGCTGTTTGAGTGCATTGCCCGAACATTGATGAGAATACGCTCTGTAGTAGCGAAAAAGTAACAAGTGCTTGAAAGATTCGTCAATCCTGTTCGGTCCTGGGTAACTCAGTGGTTAGAGCAGTCGCCCGGATAGCGAAAGGTCATGGGTTCGAGTCCCATCTCAGTGTGCCAGGGAGCAAGTGGATTTTTTAAGCATATTTCATTTAGTGCATGCGAAATTGATGAAATATAATAATTACATCATTTATCACAAAAACAATGCGACATCAGCGCTTTTTACTGAGACTGTTTCACGATATGGTCACTTATGCTTGGCCACATCATGCAGCAGTCCTACGATCACCGATATCGTTAATCGCAAATAATTCATTGATCTGGCCTGACCACATCATGATGTGGGCAGCAAGTTTTTCCATTTCATGATATACGACTATTTCATGAAATGGCTAGCCGCATCATGAATTGGTATATCTAGCTTTGCTTTACTGAGGGCAAATATACTCTTTTGGATATTTATCTACTAGTCTGTTGCTTTTTGTTTTCCAGGGGATTTGCCCTATGCCTCAAATGAGAGTTCTGTAGTCACAACGACCTGCTCTGAAAAGGTCAAAGAATGACTGGCCTACTCGATTAAACCCGCTGCGTAATACCCTCACTGGTGAGGAAGAAAATATGCGGGATCCTGCAAAGAAGAAGGAAGGCGGCGGACTCATCCCACATCTCGTTACTAAGTCTCATTACTAGGCAAGCGAAAAAACATCAGACAATGACTCAGATAATATGTGGGAATAGAAAAAAAAAAACGATATGTATATATAGACACCTCTGTATTGCTTTTGCGAAATATTGCGTTTTTGATGTACTTACGGGCCGCTATAGTTCGCTGATACCACTACGTACAGCGAGAAATTCTGAAATTCAATCTCTCATGCCTACGAAACATAGTACTTTGAATTAGTGCGTTTGACGTTAAGCCCGTTATTTGCTGTTCCTAACCTTCCCGGAATACCTCTTCAATATATATTTTTTTTCTTTCCGGGGTTGACAAACCTAAATATAAGAGATTTTGAATAAATAAACAAACACGAAGATTATGCTAAGCGGCTGGATATATGCGTCATTAAAAAGTCATATCTAGGGCTAAAAATACGTTTTTGGCTATGAACTCATAAGGTTTGAGCTAGATCAGGCAGCACGTTATCGCTTTTTCTGTCGCCTTATCTTTTTCTATCACTCAGAACTGCCTTTTGCTGGAGCGAGAAAGATAGCTGAGGCCTTATTGTTTAATTTTAAAATCTATCACAATCTCATTCAATTACAATGATTCGAAGATATTCACAAATTTCACGCCAAAATTATTTGACACGTGATAGCGAATGCGGTCTTGACTTTTGTTATGAATGAACGATTAAGCTAATTAAACGGCAATTGGAAATTTCTAAGGCAAGCGATGGACATAAATATTAATTTAAATTTAAGTTACCAACTTTTTACTGTCTCTTGATTATTCGAATATATTTTTTTCTTAGAGCAATTGCAACTTGAAAAGTTATCTATATGATTCCAAAAACCACAATCACATCGCTGTATCTTTGAAAGGGTTTGCGATAGATTTTAAAATTAGACAATTAGGCCCCTGGTGTGCTACAGCACGCAGCGGAATTATCGAGGCGACAGGCAACTATCGCCCTCTAGCAAAAGGCGGTTCTTATCGTCAGAAAAGGATATGGTGACGGTAACAAGTGTAGCTCACTCCTTACACCTTTAAATATGTTTTTTAATAATAGCCTGATACAATTACCAACTTTGAGTATGGAGATCAAACATTAAAACATAACAGCTGTGTTTTTTTTATTATGAGGCTATCATATATTTCCTTTTTAATATAATAATTAATCCAACGATATTTTCTTTCGGATTATTAGTAAAAAATAAAAATAAAATTCCTTTAATCTCTCAATGGCATGATAAGCAAAATACATATAAAGTGACTTCTACGCATTTTCACACTGTTACTTATGTTACTTCCATAAAATACGTAAATCTTCCTAATATTATATTTGGAAACTCATATTTTTATATAACACGGACAATAAATATTTAAAAAATATTTGTAAAAAAATCAATAATATTAACAATGAAATACGACTTCAATCGATATTACTATATTGCGTTAAGCATATTTTGTTTTGAATCCAATGAAAATCTCCATGGGAATATTGCATACCAATATTTCCGTGGAATATTGGTATATAACACGTAATATATGCAGCAGACTTTAAAAAAACTTTTATTTAAATATTTATGAGTGGATTTTAATGATATTTAGACATATTCTACTAAATATCATTAAAATCCACTCATAAATATTTAAATAAAAGTTTTATTATATTAAAATACAACAAAAAAAATTAAGTAAAAAATAGTTTAATAAAAAATCACTATTTCCTGTATTTTTTTTTTTGTTGAATTTCAGTAATTTTCATTGTCGCTATGATAAATAAAACCAAAATTTGTGAAAAAGTCGTGTTAGTAATTTTGCGTGAATAAATGAAGGTTTTTTGACCTGATGTTTTTTTTATACCTTCCGTAGCTAAAATGAGATGGATTCTTAAATATAGTCTCTTGTAATTGGCTCACAAACTCGATTAAAAATATTCCAGGCTTATATCGAATTATTTCCGTTTTTCTCGTATTTGTATCAGGCTATAAAGTGATCTACTGCTCCTATTAGTTTCCTACTGCCTACTTATAATGTATTGTGGCTAAGCCCTCCGGAGAAGTTTATTATAAGAACTGCGATAATATCTTTTTATTAGTGGATTTTTCGTATTATCCGAAGAAAATCTGTTTTGTAAGATAAAATGACACAAAAGTGAAAGCGAAAAAGCTTTGTCGGTGTTTTGAGCTGAGGAGATAACCCACGAATGACGATGTCTTGTGATCTTCCAACACAGAAAAAAATATAAACTTTTCTGGAATACTCAAATTTAATGGGTGTCATTTTTGTTTCCGCGTTACTTTTGAGGTTAAGATTAGATTTTAAAAAATAAAATGATAAATGACAAAAACTTCGCTAAATTTATTAAAGTATTTTCTGTCTAAGCTACGAAGCATTTTAAGAGATAAGGGAGAGGATAATCATTTAAAATTATCGACTTAAGTAACAATCTAGTGGTTGAATGGAGTATTTGTTTTTGTTCTTTTTGAAAATAAAAAATAAAAGCAGTTCTTGAAAATGTAAACACACGGTCGGCGTCGAATGGCTAATATGTTTATCTTAATTGAATAAATATCCCATGTTAAATCTGGATAAATAATTATTTTTATTTTTACAAAAAAAAAAATTCTTTACACGAAAACTCTTAATGAGGCCATTATGAATAAATTCTCTTATTTGGAAGCGAAAGGAAATACGCAGTTGAATGTTATACCACCAAAATTGCGATAAATATTCAATTTCAATGGTGTCGCATCATAAGTAATGGAGAAAGAAATAAGATTTCCTGTTTGCAGAAAGCTCCACGAAAAAGAGTTTTTGCTTTGAGGCGAATCCCATTATAATAAATTATATTATAAAGTGTACTAAGCACTAGGGGCATTGCTCTAATCGTGTACGTTTGGGTAATAAGCAAACGATGCGGTTTCTTTTTACAATGATAGCAAACACAAATCTGTTTAGAGAAGGTAGCTAACCAATTATAATTGATCTGTTTTAAAGATTTTATATTTATGTTGGACGGGTATGTAATTTAAATTAAGAAAATAAATGGGTCACTGCGAATATATACCGATTTTCTTTATTGAGTATTTGATTTCAGTTTATTTATTCTGACTGATGTTCATTAATTACAAAAAATGCTATTATGATATGAATTTATTGCAATAACATATAAAACTCTCTTTTAATTTAATTAGTTGTTTAATCTTTTTATACCCATGCATCGTGAATTTACATTTTTGTATTTTTATAATCAACATGCTGTTTGCTAGTCGACGTAGACGTTTAAGGAGGTGAAGGAGGTGAAGGAGGCGAGGGACGAGGGTCGCTCTCCCGAGCCGAGTCCGCGAACACGTTCAGTGACCTGCGCGTCGCGCCGCTTGCCGAACGCAAAACAAAATGGACGGCAGCGATGTAGTTTTCCCGCGTAAACTGCTCAAACGATTCATCCAACTGTACAAAGAATTACCTTGTCTATGGGATCGAACATGCCCTTCCTATAAATTGAAGCAGAAAAGGCACGACGCTATATCTAAATTGACGAAGTTAGTTCAAGAATATGACCCGACAGCGACCCGAGTTCATGTTTTAAGGAAAATAGAGAGCTTACGGGCGTGTGTAAGGAGAGAATATAAGAGGGTCAGAGAGAGCAGACAAAAGGCTACCAGCCCCGACGAGGTGTACACCCCGCAGCTTTGGTATTTTGATCTATTCTCCTTTGTGTTTCACGACTCGAGCATGCCCGCTGTGAAAACCGCTTGCTCACCGGTGGCGCATGCTGCGGTAAGTTTTTGTCCGCCTGTGATAGGTGGCGCGCATAAGTAGAAAAAAACTGATATACATTGAAAACACAGCAAAGTTGTTTACTCTTTCATGTTTGTCCACGAACGAAAATTCGGAAAATTTGGAATAGTTCCATTTTTTTATCATGTCCGTGAAGACTGTCTGAGGCATCAAAGGCATTGTCAAACTATCGAAATATTTCTTTGGATTTATATTAGCGTTTTGAAAGTAGACAAAGTTTCGTTTTCGGTGATATAGAGTGGGCCTTCTGAACTTTATTTCTTGCAAGGTGCAAATGTTGTTGTTCATTTTTATACATTGATAGATCCACTATATTTCTTTCAAACTTGTGTTTCACAAAGACCAAGAACTTGTAAAAAATATAATTATCATAAAAATATGATGTTCACCAACACAAATGATGATATGTTAATGCCGGTTGTCGACTAATTTATAACATGGTTTATATTTTTCAAATAACGAATTCAAACTTCATTTATATCTTGATAAAAAAACTATAGTAAAAATTTGACATTTGGCACATTTATAGATAGATAAAAATTGTTACATTCAAAAATCCCCTATAATTTCATTATATCTTCATATGAATAGTTTACAGAAAAATAATTCATAAATTCATTAAAATAAATCATGAATCTCCACAAACAGATATATTAACATTGTCTCATATAAATACCAAAAGTAAATCAACAAAACAAAAATAACCTTGCAATATAAGCTTAAAAGCTCAACAAATAAAGCTTAATTTACGACACGGTTGTCGCAGACGCGTGGTCAGGCTCCGGATATATTCATGCAATATTGAGTTATGGGCCTCTAGAATTCATAAGCCATTTTTATTTATGCTCCACTACGCCCGTTGTAGATGATTTTTTTTACTATTCTCTCGTGTATTGTGCTATAATGAAATGTTATCCCAAACTTGTGAGACCTGTATGAATAGCAGTTACCCTGAATTGGATACGTGCAAATGAGATAATTTAACAAGATCTCAATTTTGAAAGTTGCCATGAAAGACTCGAGTTCAAAATAACAAATTGTTGGTCGTCCATCCGCTGGCACATTGTATTCCTATTTTATAGATTCACCCTATTCTGTATTTTTAGCTTTCAAATACGTTTACAAATTTACAAATCAACCATTTTTCAATCAACCATGTTGCCGTCGTGTCACCTACAATAAAGTTTAAAAAAGTTCTCTTGATATTTCTTATTTTAACAACCCAATATTTTAATACATCGTCCAGAAAGTTCGCAATAATGGAGTAAAAAGTAGTTAAAATCAATGGGTAACTATTAGAAAAATGACTACTATGTTTATTTTTTATCGCTTATAAGCAACTTGTTCTAGTTCTTTATTTATTTGTAAGTTTTTTTTTTAATCATAAACTATTTGGAACTTCACAAAATCATCTATTTAGAAAACTGTTCAAATAAACATTATTCCCTGAAATATTGTGTCTCACGAATCTAAATACAGAAATAATAAATTGTGTTATTGCGAATGAATTAAGTATATTTATCGATAGTCAGATATTTATTATTCTAGACAAGTTTAAATATAAATTTAACAAAGAGTCGAAGGAAAATGAATATAATTTTAATCTTGTGGCTGTAACACTAAAAGAAGCTACTTGTATACACTATTTTATAAGGCTACCCAAAAATTCGACGCTAATTCTTAATTGGCTTCTCTTGTTCCTGGTAGCTAATTGTCAATTTTTTAAAATTTGAGTTTGTATTGTAATTGATACTCACAAGGATGTAGTTTCTGTGCAGCGATGTACTTCTCCAGTTTCCTCCTGAGCACGATCTCAGCACCATAGCGGCCTACAGAACCGTTGTCCACCAGTAGGAAGTACGCGTGCCTGTTGTTGAGCACAGCCAGCTTCGATCTGAACAGATATTTTTGATTTTAGATAATAAAAAAAATGACATCACCACACCACTCACAGCAAAATAAAGGCAATAAGTTGTTTCACATTGTTACAAGACGACGCTAATATATAAAGTTGCATCGTGCGTACCAAGCGTTTCAAAAACAAAATATACGTATCGAAACAATTTTGTAGGATAAAACAACATAAGGGACGTAGGGGAATAACTTCATTTTAGTATTTCTTACGAGATTTCAGTTATTTATGCGTCTATAGCTTAGATATTATTCCGAGGAAGCAAACTCAGACAAGATTTCAAGTTCAGTGATGAAAATGTTTTATTTGTTTGTAACACAATCCCTTACCAACGAGTTATGTATAATGCAATGCATCTAATTTGTTTGTGGTTTTGGACAGGGTGGTTATGACATGCTCAAAAAATTATCCAGTAAAAGTGCACTTTCTTAAATTCTGGGAAAAGTGTTACCCCTTTTTCCTTGCTGAATGGATTGAAACGAAACTCGCTGTCGTAAAGTTGAGAGCTGTTGGAGAGACTATAGAGTGATTTTATGTCGAATAGGGAACCATGAATCAACGGCGTGACTCAATTTACTTTAAATCAACTACTTTAACATATCTATCTTGCTGTAACGGTAACCACAAGTGGTTATCTAAGCCTACGCCATCAGTTCTCCTATTTTTAAAACGATAAACGATTTTTTTTCTTTTTCTACCCTTGTAATTTTTTTTTCTTATTCAAATAGAAAATTATTTTTAAATCCTATGCCTTCCAAAGTAATCTCAAAAAGTAAAAAACTTTAAGAGTCAAGAGTCCAATTCAATTTTATAAAATAATCACTAAAATGATACTATATTTTCCATAATTATTGTCGTGACATAGTTAAAAAGTGTTGTATTGTAAAGACAACACATTGAGATAATTAATGAAGAAGACTTTATGATGATAAAACAAGAATACCTAATAAGTCTGAAAATACACCAGTGACAGGGAATTTGCAATTCAAAAGCTTGTCTTGCTATAATGCATAATATCGGAGAGCGATCGTTATGAATGATATAAGAGAAGCCACAGAAAAGATCAACAGATTCAGAGACAATTTAAAAGAAACTAACATATGATTTTTTTTAAAAGTAATATTGGGTAAGGTAATGCTTTGAAAGAACAAGTTACATTGAAATAAAACAATAAAATATTGAATTATTAATTATATTTTCAGAAAGCCAAAGCGCAAGTCAAACTCCGTAATGGGTAAACTCAATTAGTTGATTGGTTTTAATGACAAGAGGTGCTACGTTTTCATTATCATCGTCTAGAAGTTTGTACGGCTATTTTATTTCTATACTGTCAACTAGCTCTTGGTGACTGCAATAGTTTAAATTAAAGAAATATGTGTCCTAGAAACTGCAATTAATCAGTATCAAAGTAAATCGGAGCTTTTTTAAATCAGCTGCGGTGATCGATGATCAAAAAAATATTTTTTGTCAAATAGGCTTAGTCAAAACATTCTTGATTTTCACTATCGCGTTTAGGGTTTTGATTGTGATAATTTCCCCACTGCTGGGCTCAGGCCTTCCTTATGGATGGAATCAAATCAAACGTAATAATATCTTATCAATAACGTATTAATCATTTGCAGTCTGCCATTGTGCTATCTACCTTAGTCCCCTCAGTCCCATTATTGTAATTGGAATGTATTCTTCGTAAATCAATGGTGACAGAAATGTTTCTTTGTCATTGAGTCGCCATAATTGAGTTAACCTAATTCTACAAATGTTAGCTTAATTAAAACTTATAATGCTGATATTAAGAAAGGGCACAAGAAACTTAACAATCTTGACAATAGTAAAGACTGACATTACTAGCAATATCAAAATCTATATTACAATTGTCTCTCTAAGAGATAGATAAGTAATGACATATGTGTGTTAATAAGCCTTTTTTTGTTATTTAGAATTAGGAACATTTTGGTAACCTATAGATGTGTATACGCATGTCATTTGTTTTTGCAAATTGGCGGCAATTTAAAAGCGTGACTAACGAAAATTATCGAATAACTTGACTAAAATAATTTATTACGACTTTCATTGCGGCCTTAGTCAATAACAAACAACGTTATAATCACAACAAAACACAGAATATGGCTATGCATCTGATATGAGTCAATAAACATAACAACAACTTTTTTCATTTTCTACTTTTTTCATTTCCTAACTACTTTCAGCGCAATCAATATGTAGATATAATATCTTTGAAACTACTATGTTCGCAACGCAATAGTATTCATGTTAAGGTACACACACATTGAAGGATCCAACTGGAATTACGTTATACCTCAAATATCTTCAAGTAACAACCAATATCGTTTATGTTAACACAATAAAGTGTTTATTGACCAAAATTGAGACTATTAATGTCAGTTTTACACCCTTTGATGTACGTTTATGACATGTTTATGTATCATCTCGAATGGAGTGTAACGTTTCAACATTTGTAAATCCCTCGAGATACATGCGAAATCCAAGCTTTGTGCTCGCGAGACTATGTTATACGAATATTCATTTTATTGGCAAATCCTTTCTAGTGATTTCCCTTTATGTTTCTTCAGCCTTTGTATACAAAAGATATTATTAGTAAAGTATTTTATTATTATTTTTATAGAAACATTTCCAAAGTATTTTTATTAAAATCGTCGTGTGATACGTAAAGATGGGGACAGAGATTAGATTAATGCGCGCAAAAAATGTTTATCAATTACTGAAAAACTATTACCATTATAGTAAAAGTGCTGCATAAATATCTCGGTAACAATGTTACTTATATAATTATATATTTTTTTTATATAAAAGCGTATAATTAAAACCAGAGGAATTGATCTTCAACAGTGATGACTGGGTAAAAAAAATATTCTATTTAGTACGTTACTCGGTTAATAGATAAATATTAGATATTTTTTTTGCTTCAATATAACAAGAAATGGCTTGGATAATGGGCGTTAAAGTTGAGGGGCTTGCTGCGTCACAACTATGTAGAATATCTACAAAGGTATGATGCCATTTCAACTCAAAGTATCGCCATAATTTATTGATTATGAAAAAATTAATATAATACGTGTTTAATATTCTTTCATAATTAACCTGACGGACAAAAAATGGTCATCGACCCTATCGTAGAGGTAACTTTGTGATTTTGTACACCGAGAAAATATTATAAATTCACGTTTTGACTATAACACTTAGACATACATATAATGTTGTTATCTCATTCTTGGTGTACAGGCACTCTGATTCGCATGCGGTCCAAGAATGCTGAAAACGGAAAACCGCGTACATTGCGGCCTCTGTTTCCTGCTAGCTGAATCTCGCACTTGTATAGAAAGCTGTGTGTTACAAGCCGCAAAGTTTGACTAACATTTAATCGCAGTACATTTTGAACCTGTTTAGTTGCTATAGAACGGATTAAGGCGAAAATATTCAGCGAAATTACTTCTATAACGCTCCCAACATAAGCTCGCGGGTACTATAAAAATTTAATCTCAGAACAGTCGAAATTGTTCCCAAACACAATTTCGCGTTTATTACTTCATCGTTTCTAATATAATTTTCAACAAGAGCTAATATTGTTTGTACATTTTATTTACATATGACGAAAAGTAACGATATAATACCGCAAATCCCTGATCGCCGTAACCCTGGCGGGGCAGGCAGAGTCATAGTATAACCAGATAAGTACGGTGACTTGAGCCCCGAGCGAGAGATAATAGCCTTAACAACATGTAGGGCTGTCGCTTATATTTGAATGTGGAAGTTAAACGTAACGAGCAACAACATAGCGGCATGGAATATGCGCGGACACGGCAAGCTAGCCGCGACTAGCGAATTGCCACTCGTACCTTGAGCACCTTTAACATTGAATAATTTTGTGTGTTCTTACGCACAGACGCGCGCACATCTTCGATGCATATGTATTAAAAGAACTAACTCTTTGTTTTACTCTGGCAGAGTGAACCGGACGTTAACTCTGCCAGAGTAAAACAACCATGTTCGGTGCATATGTATTAAGAGAACTTACTCTTTGTTTTACCCTGGCAGAGTGAACTGGACGCCATAATATACGGTCCTTACATACATCTTTCGTCTCATCCACTTTTATTACTCTTTACATACATACTCCCCTGATTAGAGTTTATATAACAGAAAATATTTTGTAAATTCAAGCGCAGGTGCTCGCGACGAGAAATGAGGTGCTTTTTCAACTTCAATAAGATAATATTTACTTGAAACAACTGTGACTAACCAATCTTAAATTAAACATATGCCATAATTAATTGGACAATTACATGTTGTTTGAGTAACTAATTGTTTCCGCCTCTATGATTTTCCGGGTACTGTTTATAACAAATCATGTTTCGGAAACACAGTCATAACGGTTACAATTAATGAATTCCTTCAGACTAATGATTCCAATAAAGGGCCATTAGTATTTATTTGTATGAGTGGTTGCTCGTTGAAAGATATATGTTACCTTGCGTTGATTATTAGCAATGTATGTATATTTGTCTGCAACTAAAGTAAATTGAACTTTTTCATTAAGGTTTGCTTAAGACGACAATTCTGTTGCACAAACTAGACTATTTTTATGTATCATCTCGACATAATCAAACCTAATAAAAGTATTTTGGTTTACCTGAGTAAAATACAATTTTACAAACATATGTTACTATGGAATAAAGATAAAGTAAACCCAAATCAAGATTTTCATCTTTTAGTTTATGAGCGGTCCAGTATATTATAAGTCAAATCAAATTAAATATAGTATGGATGGCGTATTGCCTGGATATATTGCTTTTTTTCTCGTTTCTCAGTTTCTAGTATAATCTTGAATATAAGCTTGACTTGATATTACTACAAGTCGTAATTTACTATTATCGGAAAAAAAGTGAGAAACCTAGTGATAATAATAAAATTTTAGAATATAAATATCCCCTTTCTTTTTTAAAGGATTCAGCTGAAGAAGAAGAGATCGATCAAGCGGCAAACGACGATGCTTCATTTGAACAACAAACTTATCCAGCTGAATATAAGATGAGTATGGTTGAAATAGAGGATAATCCTTCAAGTTCCAAACGGTATTCCCCAATGGATGAAGAATCCAATAGAGTCAGCAAGAGACTGTGCACGGAGATCGAGGACGAATATGATGCTATTGGTAAGTTTTAGAAACACTAATTGAAATCAGATAATATAATATTGAAAAAATGTTTCTTTTATTCTGTAGTCAATAAAATTTCCATATAATTTTTTGGAGTTATTTGCTTGTATTGGAGATTATTTGGAGTCAAGATATATCCGTAAATAATATTAAAATTTTTAAATTATAAAAATTAACTATACTAATTATATTTTTGTAAACATAAATATTAAAATGAAGAAAAAAAAAAGTCTGTTATTTTTTAATTCTGTTATTGATAACGATCAAGCAAGATCACATTAAAACTTTAAAAAAAATGTATAGTCAGCCTGTCATGTTAATGCTCATATTCTTTTTCTCATTATTTTTATCACTAACATTACGAATTCAAGTTTTAAAAGCTTCAAAACTTAATCACAATGAAATGGCGCCAAGTTCAGATAAAACTTTTTTTTGTCCAGCAATAAATCGTATTCAGATAAGATAAAAATAATAAATTAAACAGTACGAATTACAAAAGGGTTGGTATATTTTAGTATGGAACCTGCTTCCTCGATTTTGCAACAAATATTAAGCTATTAATAAAATATCTTTGCCGTCATATACCTTTACTGAATAATAAAGAAGTTCTGTACTGGACAGACAGGACACGGGCAGTACTGCAGCTGTAGCCGATACCAACAGCTTGACTTGCCTTTCGAAGCTTGAAGTAGCTCTTGATAATTAAACTTTTGGTCATCCATCCTACGACCGGGCTTTGCGAAAGTTGCTTAACATTCACCTCATAGTAATAATTGCCATTGAGCTCCTATCTTATCCTATACTACACAATAATCCTAACAAAATATTATTTTTTTACGTGTACGTGTAGTTACAATAAAAAGTTGGTTTCTATCCAAACGTCACATCTAAAACTACTCTGTTATTGTCGCAGGTGTCAATGTCGCTGCAAAACTTCGAACTCTCCCACCCAATATGAGGATAATAGCAGAGAAGCTCATCAACGATGTCTTATTCCAGGCGCAAGTGAACGGCCTCAATTCATCCACAGTCATCTCTACATCGGACCCTTTTAAGTAATCATATTACAAGAGTAAATGTTGATTAAGTTAGTGTTACCATTATTTACTATGTTTAATTGTTAACGTCATTGTTCAAATGTAAAAACAAGCGATTTTCCTCCAGACTTTTAGACGGAGAGCTCATTACAAGTGTGATTTCTAATGCTTGATACTATGATGAAGTACTAACAATAATTAAGTATATCACTCAGTAACCAATGCGGAGGTCAGGTGCTGAAACACCAACAATTGAAATTATAACAGTAGAATTAATTATAAGTAATAGTTATTATAAATAATTGCTAAATTTCACAGTTTTTAAAGATTTTGAATATCCATTTCTCAATATATATCAATCGAATAGGTAATAAAAGAGGTACGATAACACCATTTAAACAGTTTTTGTTAATAGTACTCCAGAGTCGCAGCTATTCACCGAAATGCAGATTGCGGACCTATTTATATATTTGACTGGACTATCTAGCCTTATCTGTAATATTTTATTCTGTAAATTAATTAATAGTATTGTAATTTCAAAATATGCCCTACGAGTCGTGTAGTAGTTTTATCTTTATTCTAATCAAATATGATAATAAAGATCTCTAAATAAACGCGGATATTATTTTTTACCTTATAATTAAATATATAACAAGGAGTTCAGAGGAGTTGCCTGCAATGATCATAGAATGGTTGACCAAAAATGCATATAGCTCGAGCTTCTCCGTACTGCAGTCTGCATTTACCAAGTCGTACTAGGCCCGTGTTGTAGATTATGACTTCTGAATTCCATTTATAGATAAGACTGGTGGGGACTGATGGGCAGACGAAGATAAAAAGTTTTGAAGTCTTACCTTGGTGAAGCGATAGCATGATACGGCACATCTCGACCCTTCCCAATCAGCTCGTTCGCACCTTCAACGATACCCCATGGTGCTATACCGATGCTGACTACCCGACCGGCCCTTTGAGATCTCTCCAGCTGTAATGCGTCACCCACTTGACGAGTTACACCTGGGACAGAAAGATTCATATTAAAATAAAGTTGGAAAATTAAGGAGGAGTAACTCGATGGTATAGTAGAAGCGCCGCGGCCCGCGATCGTTGTTTAGCTACTTTCGCAAAGGTCGATCACGGGATGGGTGATCAAAACATTATTATCTCGAGTTGCTCCATGCTTTGGTAGGCACGTTAAGCTTTGGTCCCAACTATATTTGCAGTCGTTAATACCCTTCTATCAGCATTGGGCTAGCGTGGAGGGTCATGGGCCATCCTCTTTAAGTATCTAAATATAAGGAAGGTCAGCGTCCCTGCAGTGGGGACGTAAAAGAGCAGATGATGATGAGAAAAATTAATCCGTGCTCCATGTTAGATGTCTGTTAATGTACCAGCGGAGGCTTTCCACCACGCTCGGTTTGTTTATATTTATACGACATTGTTTTTTACCAGAGGTATCGATTTCTTTAATCTGTTGAAACTATGCAGTGTTATAAGTTGGTAACTACATAGTTGAGAATTTGAACTGAAGAACATGAAGTCCCAATTGGACGCTGAGAATATGGCTGATAAGCAATAAAGTGTTAACCAAATAAAAAAATGCTTCCGGAGATTTCCATACACAACGTAACAGTGACAGTGTTAGATACTTGGGTATTTTAATTGAGAAAAATATTACGTGGGGACCTCAAGTACAAATAATGAGTCGAAAAATGTTTGCTGCAGCTGGATTTAAAAAAGTTACGGAACTTTCTACCAATAAGCGCTAAAACTGAGCTGGCATAATCAATCAGCCGATGTCAGCTATCTTGACCTCACTGAAGAGCAATTATGTGAACTTAAGTGGCTTCAGAATTTCTATATCAGATTATATTACGCAAATATGATCATGTTTCCAATTTCCGTACTAAGCTCAAGTGGCTATCAATTTGTCTTCGCCGGAATGCACATATTGCTTCTCTCCTTTACCGTACCTATTCTGTTCAATCCATTTTTACCAGTCTACCTCAAGGAACGCTTCAAGTTCCTTCACAATATACACGCACTAGTTTTAATATCATCTTTTACCAATACAAGTTGCTCGCCTCTGGAATGCATTGCCGGAGGATATTAGGCGTGCACAAACCATTACCAGTTTTAAAATATTAGTTAAGGATTACTATCTATCACCAAATTCATTCATTCATTCCTTATATTAATATTTCGCAAAAGAGTTTTAAGTCACATGAACTAAATAAGAATGGAAAAAACATTTATATTTTTATCTTTCACCTACGGGACCTACGGCACCTATGTGGTGGACATATAACACCTTTAGTTTATCCTGAATCAAATCTAAGCCTTTACCTACTTTTTATCCCACTAGACAGTTTCCTAGGTCTTTTTATCCCAATAACCACGTGGGCGTAGCCGATGGCGGAAACCTAGGAGCTATATTTTGGGGAAATCAATTTTTGGTAAATTTGTGTTACTGTACTTATTGAATTTTAACAAAACAATAAAATTATTTACCACGAATAATATGACATTTACAAAAAGCAATGTGATAACGCCTTCAACCACAGAATAACTTATAATTAACTTTGTGGTTATATTCATATTGTGGTGTATACAAGCAGTAGGTATGTTTGTAATAACTCAATAATAACTAATCTAAAACTAGTGCTACTGCTACACAGTCGCTTTTAATCATAGTCATTTTGAAGCCGCGGGATACCAAAACTAGTTAATAAAATTCTAAAATTAATGTTTAAATACAAATCAAAGTTTTCACACTGTAATTTGTGATTGAATTAAAATTTGTTATTTTCGTTCCAAGGTCTTGATAATCCATAGTGGATTACTAAAGCCTCGGAACGAAATGAGATACTTCAAAAATGGGTGTAATAGCTACTACATACAGAACCTTACATATTATACTTTTTTCAATAATACTTTTTGCTATATTAACGTAATTACAGCGTGTCAATAGCGTTACCATTTTTTAATAAATAGCATTTTTACAATATGACAAAATAACAGTAAATCTGTCATCACTGGTTCATCTGAACACCTTATTAATTAGGACCACAACCGACCGATCACTGGACTGAACGTTGTGGCGATCCATGGGGGAGGGCTATGCTCAGCAGTGGCTGAGCCCCCGTCGTAAGGCTGAAACGGCGAGGAATGAGAAAACGATGCAAAGGGAAAATGTAATTAATTGAAGAACTATAACTTTTGAGACTGCTAGTTTTGCTCGCACAGTGAACCGTCGGTATATCTGTACAACTACGGTGTCACGCCTATACTATATATGTAGCAGTCATAATAATCTACTTTCTTATCTAGCAATGAAACAAGGATCTAAACTCGTCAATCGTAAAGTTAAACTCAAAAGACATAGACTTTAGCAAGTATTTTACCTACACTAATATTATAAAGCAGAAATTAGGAATATTTTAATGGAAAAGCTCTGAAACATAGAACACAGGAACTCCGAAATTTCACCTACATCATATGCGGGTGACATAGCCTATAATTTAAGCGGGCGAAGTCGTGAGAAAACAGCTGGTTCACTAACGTCTTGAAACAATTAACATGTAACGTACCATTGACAAGATTTCAAAGACATTAACGCCCTCTATCTAGTTGTAAGCATATATTAATTGGAGGAAATGTAAAAAGGCGCTAAATTTCAATATTTTAAGCAGCAACAAGTAATTAATTTAAATCTGTATTTTGTCAGAGATACAATTTTCGTCTCTACATTACCTGTATTTGTGCCTCCAGTGAAGATCCAAGCGCCTGTGGTTTTCGCCGCCTTCAAAAGACCTTTTCGCAGCACTTTCTTCAGTTTTGGTTGTAAATCGAAGTTGGCTTTGCCTCCTTGGATGGTGATCAGCAGTTTTGGCCTATCGAGTTGCCACTCCCTGGTCAGCAATTGAACTATCAGCTCGGGTCGAGTGTCATGTGAAAGCCGCACATACTGTAAACCAAGGAATTTTATTAAATCATTTTTACATAAAATATATTTTTAATATCTATCAGTCCATTGCACAAACTTCCATTAAGCTTTAATGACGACTAAAAGCTCTAATGAATGTTCTAAATTTGAATACTCGTATCGTAATGTCGCTTTATTAAAGTAATGATTATTAATATGAAATGAATATTAATGGACGTTTGTGTGACTAGGTTTTAAGACTCTCAATTCTCTCTGCCTAGCAAAGAGATTTAAATCATATTTCTATAATGACCTAAATTCATTTAAATAAAATCATACTTCAAAATTGAACGAGCATCATTTATTCAGATATATTCTTTTTTATACAGCTAACATTCTTTATGACGAAACACATAAAGAATGTTAGCTGTTCAAGATTTTTTGTCGCTTGTGCATGATTTGTCTGCGGGCGGTGCATAGCAGGTCTTGCTCATACTAAGTAAGAAAGATGCTAGATATCGTAGATTCAGTTGTACAAATGGAATTCCGCAAGAAAACACCTGATCCTAATATTCTCTATTTTTTTTTTCTTATCACTTTCTAATTTAGAGGACTGAACGAGGAAAATGAAAAGAGGGATTGAAAATGAGGTACTTAAATGATTTACCTGGGCCTTTGTCGGATGTGGTCCTCCTTGAAACTCGACTGTACCATAAGCATCGGTGGGAGCAGCCTGAGTATGTCTTGCCGGTACCCAAGCCTCGCCACTTGTGGCAGTGGCAATATTTGTCCCATGAGCTGTTCTGCTGAGCCCACACCAACATCTAATGGAAGAGAACTGGACTTTTAACAAGGTGGCAAAACACGTATGAGTTTGCTGGAAACACATGCATGGATTTATTCACACAGTAACATTTTTATGTAATCTAAAAATAAAGTATTGTCTGTATTAATAAAAACTATTTATTGATAAATTATATTTGAAAATTAAACAAGACGCGTGTTTTCATTTTTATTTATACCCAAAAGTTATGGTAATTTATACTCAAATGTGTATTTCAATTCAAATTCATACGTTATAGCGTGGATCCTAGCGTCCGTCTTTGGGTCATCAACTTACATAATTGGTACTAAATTTTAATTCAGTCGGTCTAGTCGTTTTGAAAAAAAAGTGGCTGTGACAGACTGAAGCACTACTATAAGGATTTTTTCATATTGAAATCTTTTTCAAATTTAAACTTAAAAATTAAGTTATGGAAATTTTTAAAGCCTCGCGCTATCAAAGTTCCTTTCCTTTCCATTCTCCCAAATTTTTTAATATATTGATAAGTTTACCTTCAAATTCCTGCTTTTAAATTTATGATGATATTAATTGCTCTGGAAATACTTTAGTAATAATGCAACGCAAAAAAATATTTTGCTTTGTGAATGAAGTTCAAAGAAATTTATATTGTTCGCCGCTTTTTAGTCCGTAAAGTGACTAGTACAATTAGTCTATGCTATAAAAAAAGTCTATGACTGCCAGTTTTTTCAAAAAAGGATCGTTTGATGACACGTGACGTTTAATAAGCGTTCATTCGACTTGGCATTTTATATTTACAATTTTATGGAAAGAATACGAAATTATTAGTTATTATCGAGGGAAAATGACGACAGACGGAGAAAATACCGAAGCAGACAATCAGCCGTCTACAAGCAAGAATGAAAACCAAAGGGCAGAGTCGACACAGGAACTTTATAACGATCGACGAAAGTATGATGAGAAGCGAGACGATCGCGGTTCTAACAGCGAGTCGTTTACGTCGGGTTCTTATTCTGCAAGAAGTAAGGTGGATATAGTGGAAGCAAGACCTGAGGTAGCAAAGCCAATGCTTGCCAAGCGGGAAGCTAAAGGTCCAGAGAAAAAGAAACGTGCCCGTAGACCCGGTCGAGTGGACAAGCGGCGAACAAGACGCCAGGACATAAGGAGACCTTCAAAACGCAAACCACGAATGTTGCGAGACGTTTCGGTATCAACTATCTTTACCAGACTATCGTCACAGAGTGGGTCCAGACACTCCGGCTGCAAGTTTTGTGGTCACCGATGCTGTCGCAGAAGGTAGGATTCTCAAATGATGTGGCTAATATAATGAGAATTCTATTTTCTGCGGCAAAATTGAGATATACGCTCAACAAGAAACGAGATATCTTAACGTCTAAGCCTGGCTGCGACTGTTTGGACGCAAAATACCAGGTTATAAGCAATGAAGGTCGATGCTGTCGCAGTGGATAGAATACTCGCTCCATTTTTATTTATGAAATTCAGCATGTGCTTCGTTTTATATTCATATTTTTTTTTTCTTAATAAATTTTTGCTTTTGAACATGTCGTTTGATTTTTGTTCTGAAGCTTATTCATTTTTATTGTAACTGGATACGAACGTTTACAGATAAGCCAAAGTGCGATTTATAATAAAATTATCGATATCGGTAACCAAAATGTAAATGGTCTTCATCAGATTCAAGTACGAGTTGCGAAGAGCTGAAATAAGATTTAGGAAAAAGAAAATCAGAAGAAACAATAGGAAAATTTTACCGAAATTGGGTGGCATTAGAACAAATAAAGGTTAGAGACGTTGAAAACATCTACATCGGATACTAATCGGTTGCACTCCTAGAACTCATAGGACTGCTTGCACAATCCTATAAGATACAAAACACATTTACTCTTTAAGTACAGAGGGCATAAGTTTTGTGCACTGTGCAGGCTCAGATGCAGGTAAAGAAGAGTATCTATGTTTTATACTGCTACTATATTGAAAATTTACTTTTATAGGAACCAAGGAGGTTCAAGCAGGGTCTCGCTGCCATATGCTGTCACCTTTATTTGTAAAAACAAATGCTGTCCCAAATGAACTGCCAGAGATGCCTTGTTTGCACTGTGAGGTAAGTAATATGTATCGTTAAATTTATTGTAATATTAATGGGTCATCATCAAAGTTAATATCAAATGCCAATAATAGATTATTTGATAATTAAGGGTGAAATACATATTAACACGTTATGCATCTTACAGCAGTAGCTAAGTGTGCAACGGATCATCCGCCTTTTGTGCAAGATTCATCAGAGCTGATATTCCGCGACCAATGACTCGTCAGATATGTGTCAACCATTAGCGTGAAATCGAGACAATTCTAATACATAATTCTAAGCCTGGATTGACATATCGGCTGCTTTTTACCCCGTGAGATAACGGCAAAGCTGCTGGCGGAGAGCTAGTTACAAATAAATATCAATGCAGTCATAATTGAAAATCGGTCTATATCCACTGTGTATTGGTTATCGCATGAAATAGACCATGAGGATTGAGGACAGCCCGTAATATAATTGTCCGACCCGAATCGGAATCGAATCTAATATCAATTTCAATCTTAAGTTAGTTTATACAAGATTATATATAATCCTACTACGGTCGAGTAAAATTTAATATAGCCAGGTTCTAGGTTTATACACAAAGCTAGCGATAGACAAATTTGAGTTTAGTTTTCGGTAACTTCAAATAGTTTCTTCAAATTATGAGCGATGTAATCGTTACTTATTACTTAAAAAATTTTCTATTCTTACATAAAATACAATATAATAATTTCTTATATAAAATATAATTATTTTGTCAATACACACGGAAGACGGGGACGGAGTTCTTGTTGTATGTCTAAAATATTTTTTCTTCATTAACAGATCACACCAGAAATGATATACGAAACGCTCAGAACACTAACGATGTGGAGACAGTGTGTGTTGAAAAGCTCCATAATGGAGCATTTAAAGGTTGGCCTTTTCCAATTTCATCATCATTTCCCTATGAATGTTTGCATTGCTAAAGATAATTTAAATAGGAGAAATCCAGGAAATATACTCGTGTTTGATCAGGTTGGAGACATCTCCATAACACATAATCTGGCTTAGAAACCGCGCTCTTGGGTTAGCTGTTAGGTCGTTAATGTTCTATTCTTTTCTTTTCGGACATTAATTAAAAAACCGGTCAACTTCGAGTCGGACTTACGCACAAAAGGTTTCGAACAATAGTCTATCAAAAGGCAAAAAATCACGTTTGTTTTATAGGATCCCGCACTTGAATATTAATTTTACTCTATTTTAGTATTTGTTGTTATATAGCGGCAACAGAAATACATCATCTGTGAAATATTCAACTGTCTAGCTATCACAGTTCATGATATACAGCTTTAGTGATAATGAAACGGACAGACAGCGGGGTTTTAGTAAGTAGGATCCCATTGTTATCCTTTGGGTATGGAACCCTATTTTATTGTTACTATTTATCTATTAAATCAACAGAAGATAACATAATATAATTTCGGTAAACAAAATCTGTTATTTTTACACATGAAAAACGTACTTGATATATATAAATTCAGCGTATTGAAAAGTTAAAAATACCTATAATGTATCAAAATTGCTATTGAAATTTCATAATTAGTTATAGTTGTCTACTGTAATTTATTAATATGTTAAATGTCATGAAAATTTTCAAGACAGGACATCTATTATTGCGCTATTATTTAAAAGCGTCTTCACAAAGATGAAAAAAGACGTTTACAGAATCTTTGTGAAGACAAAACGAAACGTTAGCCATTAGTACTTTACAAACAGAAGCGAAATCTTGTTACGCTATTATTAAACAAGAAAATATTAGCCAAGGTTTTAATAAGACATAAATGATTTTACTATAATATGTTTATCTACATTTTCTTTTATTATGAAGTAGTCGGTGCCCGCGACTTCGTTCGCATGGACTTCATGAAATAGTTAACCGATGATTGAAAATTCACAGAATCTCTTTGTACACAACATTGGTTATTTTTCCTTTTTAAACAAACCCGCAGCAACACCGATTCACGAAAAATCTACGCACTGCTATCCGTGGGAAAATCAACCAGGCCTTAAATCCACATCAACACTGAACGTCTGTACCTTATTTATTTATCGTCATGGCGAAGCAAGCAACCACAGGCAACTGGCACCCAGTTTTAATTCTAACGGAAAAAATCTTGGGGATATGTGATAACGCGGTTTTGTACAATTTCGTCAATACAACAGCCGATCAGAAACTCTACTTCTATAATATTATTTTTCAAAATCATGATCTGAACCCGGATTATGTTGCATAACTTAGGAGATTGAGAAAGGTTTTTCATTAGCATTATTTGTACACCACCTTTGAACTTGATTTAGTGAGCGAGTATGTCACTTGGTTTAAGTGAATTTAAAAATTCAGTCCGATAAATTGTAACATCATCTTGGACATTATTTTAAGAATTGTAAACCACTTCAACCGCAACGATTTCCGCTTTAATTTTTTCATTGATTGCGGCTGCTTGGTAATTTCGGGGAGTTAATGTCGCGCGTTCCTATAACCAAATATTTTCATTGCTAGGAAAATAATTCGGATCTCCAAATACTGACTCAATTTGTTCTTTCTTTGAAGCAACAATATTACCCAGCACACCAGAAATTTAGCGCAATCCCTGAATATGATACTGCGAGAACGATCTTTTCTGTGCCTAATATCGGCCAGGGTTACTCTTGTAATATATGTTTGTTAAGTGCCCCCCGAGGCATCTAAGTAAAACAAGTTTATTACATCAGAGACGTAATAGTAAAATTTGAAATACTCTCTCTTTGAATTATGAACTAATTCGGTAGAACAGTAATAAGTTTCATCAAGATATTCGAGTTGATATGGTTCTAGACTATATTCACTGGAAGATTTGTCACCAATCGCAAACACAGTTTCTTTTATAGAACAAAGGAAACTTATTAACATACTGACGTCGGTTGGAGTGATTGCATCCTGCTCATTGTTCCAGTGCGGGGAAAAATCAGTCTTAAGATTGTTTTTTTATACTTTTTTATACGAACGAATGATGTAAGGAACGGATACTATCACTAACCCTCTTGATGCTTCCTTAAGAGAGTTGTCCTAGTGTTGGTCATTGTTAAGATGGTGAAGAGCCGTGCAAATTGCTTGACTATTGTCATGCTCGACATCATTAAAATTTTCAAAAATATAAATGAAATTGGTCCTCGAATTGTATGGAGCAACATTCATATCAGATGTTCCAAATCTTCGAATTTTAATCGCGCAGCAGGAAATACTCATCGGACTAAACAACTTTTTCATAGACCTCAGTCCTGTATGTGTTATAGTGTTAGTGATCTCTTAGAGTTCCAAATCACATATTTCAGATCTTCGATTTTTATAAGTCAACCGAAATTGCTCATTATTTTAAAACTACTTCTGCTATGACATCGTTTCCATATTATGTTATAGAGCAACTGATTCTTATAGTTCCACATCTGATGTTTCAAATCTTTAAATTTTAGTCACGCAACAAAATATGCTTGCAAGTGGAATAATTTTTACTATAGCGCCATTACTATATGTTTCGTCAGTCTCTTAGGGTTCCATATGATGGAGACCAGCCCAAAATGAATTATAGCCTAAACGTTGCCCAAAATTAGAAATATAAAAAAAGAATTAATAAAACCAGTTTAGTAGTTTCAGATTAGCGCGTACATACAAACAGACATATACAAAGACAAAATTTTTCAAAATCATTAGAGCTGTATTCTATTGTTGTATTACTATCATCCTAAATATTTTTTTAGAAAATAAATTTAATATACAGTCACTCTATTTACTGTTTTATTATAGTAAAGATTTCATCTTACTAATGTAAACATATCATATGCCAAACACTCCTATGAACTCGTCATTTTAATGTTTTTTGTCTATTTCCATAAAAATGTAATAATCATCATTTTTTATTTGTTTATACATAAACTAGCTGTTTTCCGGCGACTTCGCACGCGTAAAGTATAGACTCTATGAACCCCGTATAATGTAGTTACCCGTGAAAAAGTTTTTAAAATCGACCCAGTAGTTTCGGAGCTTATTCGATGCAAGCAAACAATCAAACATTCAAATCTTTCCTCTTTATAATATTATATCAAAGCGAATAAATAGATGACTTATATCAAAGCCCCACAAAACTGTATAAACAGTTGACGCACGGAGTCTCATACAGTTTTATTGTTTATATATATACAAACGAGTGAGAATGCTATTTACATATATTATATTTTATATAGGAGCTCGATGGTTTAGTGTCTAGCGTGTTCGGTCTGTTGGCGGATGTTAAGAATATAATAATGTCATGAGCATGTCGCAAGGGCAGGTCAATATTTAGTGTAAATAAATAAATATTTCGAAACATCACATAAGTTTGCTTAGCTTCCAAAATTAGTACCTAAAAGCCGCGTTAATACAACAAAAATACGACAACAACAGGCCCGACAGATTATCGATATAATCCAACCAACCGCTAATAAAGGAATCACAAGAAAGAGACCTACTCTAAACATTTGGTAACTAATCTATAGCTACCTAATGTTTAGAGTAGGTCTCTTTCTTAAGAAGTAGAGAATGCGTTAAAAAGAAACTGAAATCAGCTTTTCAATAAAAATTTTCTTCTTGTAGGAACTTTAGCCATATTATTAGCCATATTATATTCATATAAACGACGATACTAACGAATTAGAAATTTGTTAAAGCGTTAGACACGATGGAGTTTGAAATGGTCATTTGAAATGTAAATCGGGTATCCGGAGTATAATTTACTCGTTTATCGCTTTCAATGATTTGATTGGATCCAATTGAACTATCGCCGATTAGTGCATACGCTTTGACAAAATCGTTTGAAGTCTTCGGCTCCTTTGAAGTCCCATTGAATTTGTAACTGATCAGGTGCAATTCAAAGTCCATGTTTTATTTGAACATAATAATATGTGCTTAATTTTATGAGTCATTATTTTGTTTACTAGGTTTTTAATGAACTATGATGAATGACTTCGAATTTTTGTACGTTGATATTATTAATTCATACAGAAGCAATACAATCAAACAACATTGATATCTAGAAACATATATTAAATAATAGTTCCGCCAAAGTAGTTTATATTCGAAGCAATCGATTAAAGAGAATTATTAATTTTGGGACCGAGTTCCTGGCAGTACTCGTCTCTTGCATTGACATGGAAACTTTTTCAATATTAAACAAAAAACAGTTCAAAGTTTGATTTTGAATTGTACTTTAAAAGTAATATTGAGCGTTTTATTAATTATTGACTAACTATTCAATACAAATAAACATTATTAATTCATAAGGAAATATAATCAAGAAATAAACTGGTTGTTTAAACACCATCCTTAATAGTCCAAGTTTGACTCCTAAAACTGTTGAGCGAAGTTAATTCGCAAAGACCCTTTATTAGTCTGATTGGATTTGATCGAATAACCCTTGATATTGGATTTGTTTTAGAATGCGGCCTCAAGATAAGTCCCTTATTTATGAATAAGTTAATTCCATAAGCTTTTAGAAATTTGATGTTTACCCAGTAAGATTAATTCACGCCCAAAATTAATAGTAGTTACAAATTAAATACTTAGTCACAGAACCAAATGTTAGTATCATAGTAGAAAACTAAGCTAAGTTATGTATTAATATTTCAGGAGAATGACAAAAAATGAATAATAATAACACTAGAATAATAAATATTTATTAGCTATAGTGAAAATGTTGCTACATTCTTACAAGAAGAAAAAGAATCATACAGAAAAAGAAAAAGCTTTTTTATTACATTATCAAATATACATAAAAAATAACCTATAAAGAAGTTTCTTGAAATAACCAAAACATTCGGAGTCCCACTCGTATATAATATAATTCCAGAAATATAGATTAATCAATATAACTGCCAAATTTCTTTTTAATATACATATTATCTGACCTGAAAATATTTTTATGTGGTGCATATAAGCTTTATATTTGAGAATTTAGAAATCACACACCTCTTAATTTAGGTTTGAACATTTCTTTATATCATTGGTTTGACCTCGAGCGGGGAATGCTAGCAGTATTTGAACATAAAGCTGCCATTAACACAAAGCCACTGCCACTTTAGAAAGAATTCTCTTCGTTTAGAGTATCGCTAGCAATTAAACATAAGAGAGTAATCAAGTTAAAGAGGACGTCATTATTCTTTGTGTTAAAGTCCGGAATATGATTAATTTATTTTTTTAGGATTTCATACCTAAAGGGGAAAACGGTCCCAAAGGATCATGTGTCGAAAATAAATATTAAGGATCGGAGGCTGTACTTATGAGTGTAAACTTTTGGTCATTTACGAAAATAAGCGAAAGTTGATAATCTACACTCTACAGATTATTTCAGTAACACCATTTATTTTGAAAAAAAAAACCACAGAAAATTATTAAAAAAATAAAAGGTTACAAAACTATAACAGTGTAATTACAAAAGAGGCGTGATACAGTGTTTTACAATGTGTTTATCTAAACAATGTTTAAGAATATAAACCCTGTTTATACATGTTCCATGTACGATGTATACAAGCTTATAATAAATTTTAGTCCTAAAGAAAATAATTAATATAAAATACCATACAATCTTAGGCCACATCTTATTAATCATCATCTTAATTAGTGGCGAAATGTGAACCCAGACTTAGAATAAAAAATAGATATTTATAAGTGATTGAAAATTGTGTATAGTGAATGAAAAATTGATCAAATAATTCGGTTCTTTCAGAGGCATTACCCTGTCAGTAGAAATGAAGATGATTTGCAAATGGAATTGACTGAGAAGTTGAGAATCGCTGCAATAGTCGGTAATAATTACAATATGTACCCAATTCAGGTATAATTAAGATAAACTCTGACGATGAAATGTAAAAGGATTTGATTAGTTTCGTTTAAATGCTTTAAAATTTTGATAAAGGTTTATAACACTTTCATATGATTGACTGGGATTCAATGAATGTGATAATAGGATGTATTAGCTGCTAACTTTCAGTGCAAACCTTAAAATACTACCACTAACAAGATAATACCTGAAACTTTTTTAGGCGATGGATTGATAGCACGTCACTATTCAGAAGGAATGGCTCAGGATCAACTAATGACAACTGTAGCGCCTTTGAGATATTGATAGGAACTGGGTACTATCAATGTATCTTTATCTTATGCTGCTGCACTTTAGATGCTTAGCTAAAGTCAATAGTAATTATTCACTAGATGTAACTAGCAGTATCGTCTGATTAAAAGGAACCAACCAATTTAACCTTCCTACTATCTCCCAAAAAACTGCATAACCATAGTCTGAAAGAAGGGCCATACACCCTGCCATTTATAATATAAGTGTGGATTTCATAGTATTAAACATATTTTAGGTATTGTCACCAGTGTAGGAGACGACCATTGGTGTCTGAACAGCGCTTTACAGAAGAACAGATCGCTTAGCAAGTCGCATGTGACTAAGTTTTGGCAAATATACACGGATACTATGAGCCCGGTCAGGAGACGTGAGAATCCACGGAATGTCAGTATAAAATCATTTTAATATCACATTTATTGTTGACTAGGGATTCCCAAAGTGGTTGATATCATATCTTCAGGATCGGAATCAGTTGCCTAGAAGTTGACATAAACGAAAACTGATTTTTGATTTTTATTAGTTTAGTTTTGAAAACGCCCAAAGTAGTTTGGCTAAATACTACGAGAGCTGCGCAAACAAACATCCATCATATATCAGATCATGAATTGATAAAGGGATGTTTTTGCCTGTGAAATACATATGTACTGTGAAATCCAACGTTATAGCAGTCGTTTTATACTATCTAATTTGAAATTGATGTTATTCCATTGAATATTTGAATAGGAAGAGCGTTCTGACAACAGGAAGCCACTACACGTCTAGCACGGAAGCCGGAATTATGGCTGGATACATTTTTAAATGCAACACGACTTTATAAATAGTGGTGTGATTTATTGAGTCGTATTATGATGTGCTCGGGTTAAACACAACATATAACTCGTACGAATTAACATGACATCTGAGGATCTATTCTACTTGTATTAATCGTCGAATGAAAATTCAGATAATTTCGAATCAAACTTATAATTTTCTTAAAATCATATCTCTGAAGATTATCTGTGTATTAAAGGCAGTGTAAATGATAGATCAGCAGTTCTATTTTGAAGTAAAACCAGCCTAGAATTCGACATTGAAATCAAAAAGTAATAAAGGTTCATCGAAACTCTATGCTGTGACGGCGCTGTTGTCGATGTCGAGTTCGAGGTTGATTTTATTACAGAATAGTAAAGCTGAAACGAATGAGAAGAATTTTTCGTTGGCTTGGATTTGGTTCACATCGAATTCAATCAAAATGCACTCAACGTTCTTTACTGTATTATTAGATACAGTACGTTCTTCACAGTATTAATCATTCTTTGCATTTTAAATGTAAACCAAATCGAAACCTATGTAAGTTACGCGGCAGTAGGTCTGCTATTACTATAGAAAACAAATTTCTCGCAGTGCCGTCACCTCTCAAAAGTTTGCCTTTATTCACATCATTAAAACATAGTTCTGTCTTTTTTATTAAAACTCAACATATAATTTTTATTTTCATTTACAGCAATTGAGATAAATTGTACAGAGGCATTTCCAATGCTGCATCTGTTAAGCAGAAGCAGATTATTTATTCTTCCATCTATAAACATAGTTCGCTGAGCACAATACTGTAATTTGTTCAATGACATCAATATACGAGTATATCCGATAATATTATACGGTTCTTATTTTGTAATTCTTATAATATTTATAACCACTTCGCATCTCAATAACTGTTTTATTGGGTGTATGAGGTGATCAAAAATAAAATCCGGAGAATTTGGGAATTTTCTCTGAAATAAATCAATCAATTCAAAATAATTATTCATTCCCAGAATCTTTCTAAATAAACGCGTGAGAGAAATTTGCACAGTAAGTAGAAAGATATTAGAAAACTAGCACACGTTAAATATAAATATAGAAAAAATGCACGATGAAGTATTTATATTTTATAAAAAAGCGTTTTTTTTTTGTAAAAAACAATATTGGTAACAGATATGAAGAAAAAGCGTAGTGAATAAGCGCCGCGGCACGCGATCGTTGCCATTAAGCAACTTTGGCAAGGGTCGGTCACCAAAAAATTATTACTCGAGCTACTCCGTGCTCGGAAGGCACTTTGAGCCGTTGGTCCAATCCCAATCAGCATTGGGCCAGCGTGGAGGGTCATGGCCCATGCTCCTTAACCATCCATAAGGAAGTTCTGAGCCCCTGCAGTGGGGACGAAATAAAGGACTTGTGATGATGATGATGATGATGATGAAGATATCGAGTCGGTTTATATAAAAAAAGTAATCGATGTCATTAAATTTTTAGGTACATAGGTACTACGTTATACAAAGATAATAATATCACACACATTGCTCATCTTTCACGATAAATAGCTAAAGTATCTCAAACAAGAAATGTAACCCGAGACAATATAGAAAAGATTATTTTCTACATTGGGTTCGTTTTCGGGACCTCAGAGATGGCGATAAATGAATAATTAATGTTAAACTATTTATTACTCATAAACATACTTATAGTATGTTTATGAGTACTAAATAGTTTAACATTTAATCTACAATCCATAACGTAGGTAATCTGATCACACTTGATTAAATTTGCAAAGCCCCGATTGTAAACAGAAGGCTAATTTGCGACAGTTCACAATTGAAAAAGAGCTGTTGTATTTAACGATCTATTTAATGGCTCCCAAGCGATTGCCATCGGCGATATTGTAGTACAAATAGCTACAAATAGCTACAGGATACCAATATCAATACTCAGGAGAAAATCTTATTTATCTATCTGTATGTAGTATAAAACGAAGATGATTCTCGCTGCTTACATGCTGAGATCTTTGACAACAGATTTTAATGCGGTTTTCATAAATATACAGGTGATTCAAGAAGAAGATTAATATGATATAATACAGGAACACATGAGTGAAGCCACTGGTGGAAATCTTGTTTATATAAGTGAAAACACAGATGATACCATCGATGTTGAAATTGCAAAAATGTTAAAAATGAAATTTATTTTAGGCATTGTTTAGTGGGTTATAGTTAGACTGAGCACAATTGCAACATGGTAATATAACACCTCGAAATTTTTGTTAAGACACATATGTTACTATTCTCGGATGCGTCTTCACAATATATAACTCTTGACCCGAGAATTGTCATGCTACGCTTGTTGGTCACCAAAAAGTTTCTAAAAATATCATGTGATTGTACTGTTTGATAGACGATACGACGATGCGATTACGAAATCCATTATAAAAGTAATCGGGATCTAATAAAAAAGTTTAAATTAAATTTTAAGTTTATAATCAAGTAATTTCAGTTTCCTATAGTTTTTGTAAACCGTACGTACGTATACATAGTAACCTGCCATTCGACTGTTTTTTCAGAATCTTCTACGACCTAAAATCTTCACGAATAAGTAAAACCAAATCCATCATCAGTGGGTAGCTTTTAGGTTATAATATCATAATTCAACACTTCTATCTTCCAGTGAAATATAACAGCCGAGACATAAACTACGTTATTGTGATTTGACAGTTATGTTTGAACAACTCTAAACTATGAAAGTTGTGCTCTAGTTTGGCTCTTTCATACTGTAGGATCCGAGTCACAGCTGCACTAATTGGTTTAACAAGGTGACGGAATACAGACGACTCAGGGCTGACGTAGCGTACTAGCTTAAATTAAGATTTTCTGTGAAGAAAATATATTTTTGTACAACCATAGGTTTCATTTTTTTGAGGATAATTTTCTTTGTTAGATTTGCTCGATGGTAAAGTGGTAATTTTTACTATTGTGGAGGAAAAAAAAAGTTTTGTTAAATCCGGATGGGTGACCGAAAATTTATCATCTTAATCTTCTTCGTTCTTTGAAAGACATATTAATCTGATCACGCAGTCATGCAGTCGTTAACACGCTGATCTTACCTTAATTTTCTTGATTCTATTTAAAGGAAAGGCCTATGTTCCAGCAGAGGGGCAATATTAAGGCTGAATATAAGTATAGTTTCAGTTTGTAATACATTTTTGCTATTGACCAAACAGTCGTACTCATTGATTGAAAAGTCAGCTTCGAAAAGAGAAACATTATTCAGTTTAGGTAACTAGTTTTGCAATAAATATTAAATTTAAAAATATAAATAAATATTAGACAATATCACATACATTGCTCGGATGCCAAGATGAGAAGCTAGAGCCCCCGCACCCTGACCTGAGATGGCGACACCTTGAAACCGGTATGCAAACCACTTCGCTACGGAGGTCGTCTCAAAATTCAAAAGTTAGACCTAAATCAATAGAGTAGTGTTTGGTTGCTATAAGACTTTTCAGACTGCAGGATCATAAACAGATTACTGTCTATCTTCATACCGTTGCCAAAATTTTCTGATTATTTTCGTAAAATATATATAAAGAAGGTGATTCTCGTTAGCATACGTAGTTGTTTTAACAATACTCAAAACAATTAGGCACTTTTTTGAAACATTTCCCAGATTTTTCTATGGCTTAAATATGTTTCAGTGATCTTCACTTTTAATTACTGTTTTTACTTCACAAGTACTCATATCTTTATAATCATCAGATAGTTAATATTTTAGTATGCCACATTCAGAATGCAACGTTGTATTATGTTATCTTACGAGCACAGGATATCCGAACGTCGTGAAATGGATATAGAATTGAGAATAAATTGTTTGGTTATCAATTAATACAATCAAACGCTTCTTTGCCAAAGCTTATGGTAATTGCTGTAAATATTTAGGAATATGCAAACTTATTTAGTACTTGAAAGGTGCCTGTGCATATTCGGAAAAGAAATACAGTCTCACAATGACGGCATATCTCGTAAGCATCACCTACAATTCGTATCTTACACCATCTCACTAGATTCAATTTTTTATATTTATTTCTTTAAGGTACTTGTCTAAACAATAATAGTCCATAATTTGTATTGTAGTAAAACCAAAACGTCCAGTCGCAAATATTATAAAACTATGTTGATATTATAAACTAATTTGCAGAAAGTTTAGAAAGAGTTGACCTGAAAGATAGCGTCGTTGTAAAATACAACAGATAAATGATCCGTTGGTTCAATGCCGGACGAAGAAAGAATGACAAAGCTCAGTGGTTAGAGCACTCGCTCGGATTGCGAAAAGTCATGGATTCGAGTCCCATCTCAGAGTGCCAGAGACAAAATGGATTTAAGCATTTTTCCTTAATAATACCCGTATCAAGTAAATGTATGTATCTGTAAGTAAGAACTTAACAATGTAGGTTTAGTTGGCTTTTATGGGCAGGAGAAGCAGTGCTTATTTGCAAGTTTGGTGTGCACGCCACTGCAAGGAATGCGGAAGTCAAGGTTTAGACATATATTTTTATCTTAAAGAATAAAAACTCCATTGAACTTTTCTTTAAGACAAATATTAATATAGCACTATGAAAACAAAATTGATCAAATATAACATGTTCCGTTCAATTCTAGAGACAGGTGTGTTCTGACGTATGCTTAAGTTACACACATAACGTCAACATGTTCATGACAAGGGATTTCAATAAAAGGAAATCTAGTTACTGTTATATGTTTCCAATAATAAGTTCAGGATTTGTGTCAGCGTTTATTTCTCTCATATCTTTTTCGACACACATT